AAGGTAAACAAGTGGCCATCTAGCTCAGAAGCAACAAAGCCCACATGGAAGAAGCACACCAGCCTGTGTGATCATGAGGTGTTGAAGGGATCAGTTATCAGGCATCAAAGAACACAAAATCATATCATTGAGTGCTAGATCACAATCTTGCAAAGTGATTTGACAAGTTACTTTGCAAATAAAGTGGATAAAATCCTTGCAGGAACTGGAAATTTTACCGTGCAAGCTGCCAGTGAACTGCCTAAGGGATCAGTCAGTTTGTGGTCTTGGCGGGAGGAATTGGCACATATAAAAGCCACTGCCATGAACTCCCTGTACATTGTTCATGCATAAACATAACATAAGCAAAGATCATCAGAAAGATCTTTAAGTCACTGAGTGAACTGAACACATAATGGTAAAAGTGTGGAGCATAATCTATAGGAAGACATCAAGCAGAGAGGTGAATTTTCTGTAGGCCAGAAGAAGCCAGCCAAACTGCTCCGTGCACAGTGTAGGGTAGTTTCTGGTACCTAACAATCAGAAACAAGTAGAGCGACTTATCTGGTAGCCAACTGATTCTTTAAATAGTGCAGAACAATTCCCAGTACCCAACAGAGAGTGGTGGGTACCCTGTTTCCCCCTCACATTCCAGGTGAATCCCTTACTGAATAAAAGAGTGAATGGTGCCCAACTCTGCATCCATATCCACAGAGCTGAGAGTTAAGTCTGAAGGAGGGGTGGACAAGTGGGAATAATGCACAGCTTTGGGACTACATTCTGGGTCCACCATGGCTCCCTGGTGCCTGAAGGAAATGTTTGCTCACACATTTTTACATATAGAGTGAATGGAGGCTGGGATCATATATCCAGTTCAAGCAATAAGCTCTGGTGGAAGCTCTAAAAACCTGGAATACCCTAGGGTTAAAGTAACAGAAAGGACTAGCTTGGATTTTTCTTTATCATTTCCCTTCCCCCACTCCTTTTTTAAAATGTTTTGATAAACCACCAACATAGCTCACAATGGAACCACCCCTAGTACACATAAACCCTAATGCCAACAGAAGTCAGGCCTAGGATAATGGTCTGGAGAAAAGAGCAGCGGTCAATTCATACTTTGGGCTTTGTTTTGTTGCGTTTTGCTTCATTGTGGTTCTTTTCTTTTGGTATTTTGATAAACCATGAGCAGAGAGACACAGGATACAAGAGGGTCGAATAACCCTTAACTCTCAACAACTCCATGTTGATCAGAAACGCTGCCACCCATCATCCTCATGCACCGGTGGCTACATTCCTACTGTGCACATCTTGGATGGGGCATTAATCATCCTGTGTTGGTAAATGAAAAAGAAAAAGCAGCTTCTGGTTCTGACCCCCGTGTGCCTGTGCATGTGGGAGTGTATGGGTATAGTTTCCATTCCTTTGTTGATTGGCTCGGTTTTTGTAGGTGTGCTTGTGTTGTTGTTGTTACTTTTTGCCTAGTTTTGTTTTTATTATGTCTTTTACACAACATCTAGTAGAATCAATTGCCCCCAAATGACTAAGGCAACCTCACCTCTACAACAACAACAATTAATGGGTAAGGGTCACCATTCATTCCATTATTTGGTCAAGAAATACAAAACAACACAACTGTTGGAGACAATGGATAATCTCAATAAAAAGAAAGACAAAAGAGAG